ATGAATGAACTTCTGGACGGACGGCCCTACGGTGTCCCAATTCTTTTTAAAGAAGAGAGCATTGAGTCCGTCGAGTCCCGGGGCTTTAAGAGAGCCCATACCTTGTAGGGCCGAGGAAATTTCTTCGTCTGAGATTTCGTCTTCCATGGCCAACGATAGGCTTCTGTCACAAATATGGAATAAATTCTGAGTCACCGTAGTTGCGCCCGAGACTTGCCCGCCTGTATAAATCGACTGGAAGTATTCTGTTGCAAGCCGCTGGAGGGATTCTTGGTCCGAGACAAGCTGGCCCGCATCATTTACAAGTTCCGTTATTCGTCCATGATGTCGACGAAATTTGAGGTGTCGATGAAAGTATGAAGTGTTCCTATCTCCCAGATGCGACCAATCTCCCGTGGATTTCTGGAGCAGAAGCAATTCTTCTTGGAGGATGACGTCATCTAGTTATGCTCGTAGCTGCCGTTCCAACGCCATGAGATTTTTCGAAAAATGAAAGTGTCGGCTCCGTTGGATACCCCCGATGCGTGCTAGGAGTTTTTTCTTTCGTTGAAAGATATTACCAAAAACCGAGAAGTTCCACTCCTTGGCCGCTACTGTAAACTTTCGGGCTGCTTCGGTGAAACAAAGAGACGGAAGCCATGAGTGTCGAAGCATGTTAGGGAAGTCAGGATGGAGGTGCCACGATGCTAGGAAGCGGAAAGGTTTTTTGCCTTGCGATGCGTGGAGTTGTCGGCCGAATTCCACCAACAAGGGAGAAGGCGTACCCTACTCGTCTCATATTTTTCCATCCATCCGATATTAGCCACAAATCTATCAAGCCTCTCCATAATTCTACCAGATTGGCTCTCCCGGACCCACGTGAAAAGATGGCCTTCTGTAGCCACCTCTTGGATTCCGTTTGAGAAAATCCAATCCGCGAATTCCGTACTGATGTTGCAAGAGTTGCGAGAGCCCCCTACTTTCTCTGAGACACGAAGTAGGCAATTGAAGTCCCCCCCGATGAGCCATGGTGTTGTAATGCCCGAGGCAAGACTCTCCAGCTCAGGCCAAAGGCGTCGCCGAAAAGTGGCGTTAGGGCTGGCGTAGATAAAAGAAATGAGACACTCATCCCCATTCTTTCTCATACGGGTACGAATTATTTGCTTGGAGAAATATAGGATGTCGACATTCACCCTCTCCCTCCATAGAAGCCAAATGCCGCCAGAAAATCCACGAGCTTCAACTCGGAAGGAGTTCTCAAATTTGCTATACCTCACGAAACTATCTGCGTTAGCCCCATGATCCGTGGTTCTAAAATTGCTACAACATCCGGATTATGCTGTCGAGTTAAGGTGGAGAAGGCTCCCCGAAAAGTGGGCGAACCAGCTCCTTGCACGTTCCAAGATAAAATATTCATAAGAAAACTATTGCTAAGTAACAGGGAGCTGCTCTTATTCGAGAAGTGGGCAACCTGGCCTTGACTCATCTTCCCTATCCATGGGTTGGGTCGTCTCATCTGGTCGGTCCGGCGGGCATCGTCTGGTTTGGTGTTCCTCCGGCCATGGGTCTTGGAGGTGAACCTCTTGCTCACCCTCTGCCATAACATCATATCCTGAATACGATATTAATATCGTGCCAGCGATTTGTATTAGTAGGTGGGGTGCTATGGTCTTCTTCAATGATAATAGCTCGATGCTTGGATGGGTTTAGTCCAGCGCCTACGCGAATCGGTCCGGTTTAGTTCTGTGGTTGATCATGCTTTGAAGTCCCAAGTCTGTTAATTGCGCTCACATAAAGGTCGGGCCGTGTGTTTCTTTGGGGTTGGTCCGATGGTGCTTTGTTGACCGATTCAGTGCGAGGCCCAATAACTTGTCCAGGCCCAAATCCACCTACAGTTGTTTTAGGGATATCATGCACTCTGCCCTTTTTTTGCTCGTAACGGCTCGCCAAATTCCGTTTCCCTGATTCCTAGCCTTCTCCTTTTGTAGGTCCCCTATGTCCTTCAATTTACCCGTTGATTGAGTGCGGAATTCAAAATTCGGGATATTGTCCGGATTAGGTTCCGCTTCCAAGATACCAAAACGAGACCCTAGATTGGATATTGTGTACGGATTTTTTGTTGTTTGGATTGTTCCCTTGTCGCGCCGGGAATGTTGTTGACGCACGCGCTGAGGGACCTGAATCCATGGGCTGTACTGCGAGGTAACCCCACCATTGTCTTTGGTCGCTGTGGACGCTGGTCGCCCATCCTCACCAGTCACGTCCTTTGGGTCAGTGGTTCGGGTTTCAGAGTCGGTGCCTGTTGTCGGAGATGTCGGGTGATGCAGACATGAGGTAATAGAGTGGCCCAGGCGTCCACACTGATAGCAAATTATAGGCATATTCTCATATACGACCTTCTGTTGTTTGCCATTGATGGAGAAATTGACGTATAGCGGCTTTGAGATGTCGATTAGTACTGCAAGTCGGGCAAACTTGCCGCGAGTAAGGGTGTTGAGTAGATTTTTGGGTATTGGTAACCGAGTTACCCGGCCTCGGGTCGTTCTCAAAGGAAGGCTCTTCGGAGCTTCGTTCACCTACCTAGTCATCAAAATCAAATAACTGAAAACAAGGTCCTAAACATGCTACTCGCTTGATTGGGGGATGATTGCACGCACTTGAACTACGAATCTAAGGGCGAATGATGGAAAATGCAAATATAGAGAAAAAGATCGAAACTTTGGTCTACCGGAATCCCCATGACTCAAGAAAAAGAAAAATAACAAGAGAAATCATGCTAGCATAGCGATCCTAGGTCTTCTAACACCGAGCTTTCTACACTAAATCATTACGCTTTGAGCAAAGTCGAAATCTTTCTAGATAACCACATATCGAATCCTAACACACCAAAGCAAGCAATGAAAATAGAGCGAAAACCTATAATCGAGCATCAACATAAAATCGAAAAACAAACTCGAAGTAATTAGCCTTAAGCAAGGTACTCACCCTCCTATCACATGCGTAGACGAAAATAGTGCGTAAAACTCGAATCTTGATCCAAAATAAAGTTGCCGAAATTTCACCGGGAAAATCGAGTCATGAGTCTCCAACCAAAGCATAAAAAAAGTAAAAGAAAGAAAATGGAGAGGATTTCCCAACTTAAAAGTTGGGAAATGAGGGTTGTGTTCAAAAATACAAAGCATAATGTCTTTATATAGCTACACCACAAACACACACTAAAAACACGCACATTTAATAACACACTCCCGAGCTCTCCACCATTTTCGCGAGCACGCGAGCAACAACAGCACGGGCATGGAAGGCGCGGCACTCTCGAGCTCGCCGGGAAATCCGCGAGCTCGCGGTCGATGGCACCACGAGGGAGTGCGGGCGTGCGGGCGCGCAGCAGGGCACACTCTCGAGGTCGCGGATTTGTCCTCGAGCTCGCAGGCAAGGAGTGAATGGCACTCTCGACGTCGGGGATTTTTCCTCGAGCTCGCGGGCATGGGCGCGTGCGTAGGAATGGTCCCGATGACCTCTTGATGCTCGATTCGCTCTAACTTTTCGCACACAACTTCGATTCGCACGAAATTGGACCAAAATTCTCATCATGAATTCTCTTCGTCCCGGTATGGCTTGGTCGGATTTTTTGGGTTGGACGGCTCGGTCGGCTCGGACGGCTCGTCTCCTCGTTCTCGACACATTGGACTTATTCAACACCAAAACAAAAGAGAAAACGCGCAAAAATACGAAAACACTATACAATAACAAAAATACACAAAACACGATAAAATGGACCGGTCGACACTAAAATGAGCCTAAAAAATATAAAATAAAGCACACAAAACACACGAAAATAACGACAAAAACACAATAAACAAAGGGCTGCCGTTTGTTGGTCTATCTTGACCACCTTGCCCACAATCCTTCCAATTGTGCGAAAGACCTTCTTATGGTAGAGATGGGCGGGCATTCCCGACAAACGGATCCATGCAATTGTGGACGTAACTTCCGCTTTAGTGGCATCGAACTCCATTGTCCACGGTTGAGCATGCATGTACCCACTTCCAATAACGTACGGCCCACCCATGAGGACTTTCATCGCGTCCTCTTGGAGTGAAAAATGGATAAGGTAAACACCGTTCTCCAAATCCATCATATTGTACCCAGCCATGAACGGCCACAGTTTGGTCAGACGGTTGTACAACGATGCCATGGTTATCGATTCATCGAACGGCTTGATCACCACCACGTTTTTCCATTCCTTGTTGATGCGGTCGAAGAAGCGTTGAGCAATTTTGACATCTGGTACCGCGCTTGAGAAGTCGACGGAAACCTCGTCGTCCACCTCGTCAGATTCTTCCTCGTCCTCGGGTTCCATCTCAACGTGGGCCCTATGTTTATTCACCATGTCTCGGAATTTCCAGCAAAGGGGAGGTTTCGTCGTTGAGGCGGGTGGATCTGCTAACGGAGTAGCCTGTGGATTCGGGGGGCTTTGTTGTTCCAAAAAGTCTCTCAGTCGTTTTCGGGTTCTCAATATATCGTTTAGATGCTGGGGCTCTGCTTGCTTATAGTGGTGGAAATTCCGTGTCCGTTTGGTGCTCCGGCGGATCGACACCGGGGTCGAAGGTCGCCGTGATAGGGTTGAAGGCGGCGAGAGAATTTTCCTCAGTGTCCATCTTTTTTTTTTTTTTTATTTTTGTAAGATGCATAATTTTTAACATTTACACGGTAGTATTTTCAATATATGCTCCTTTCTATTCCAATAACATTGGCTTGTGTACAATAACAAAATGTTGTGCTTTCATAGGTATGAATCAGAATCGACATTAATGTTGTTTCTGAACACTCGGGAGTGTAATGAAAGAATACAACTACAAAAACTCGAGTGTTCATCAAGTTATTTCACCAAAATTGGTGAATAGCAGGCACGAGAGCTAACCGGAGTAGACTTTTGTACCAGCAAAACTACATTTCTTTCCTACGAGAGCACACTACCTCAACGCAATTTGGAAGGAAAAACAAAACAAGAAAAAATGGTTCTATGAAGGCTGCACATGCATCTTTTCATGGATATCCCTCACAAGATCACGCAGTTCCGGAAAAATTGACAGAAGAACAAGTTCCATTATTCCATAGCCAAGTTGCTTCAAACAAACTGTTGACTGCAAGTGGTTTTGATCAAATATTAGATTCATTAAAAAAATAAGTACCAAAGATAACACTTTTAACATCTATACTACTTAAGGTCTTCAATGCTAGCTGAAGCACCATACAAAAAAGAATATTTTGTCGAGATAGTATCACATAGAAGAGATGCTTCTAATTTGCCTATTTGAGCACGTTAAATTCAGTTGAATAATTCTTCAGATGAGTCTAATAATTTTCTTTTCTCATCGCTATTATGTTACAAGCCGATGCATCTTAGAAACTGTCTAAAAAAATTGAGAGAAAAAAAAAAAAAAAAATGTCCTGATAGGAATTAGGATGATGGCTGGGGAAAATGACACAATTTTCTTACCTGAAGGAAATAGTATATATCTCTAGCACAACGTTTGTATTGCTTATGCCCGATCAAACTAACGAGTGGGGCTGGAGCACCATCTGCCAGTATGGATTTGATATTACGAGAGGCCACAGATACTCAAATTCAAATCAAGAGTGAGTGAACTATTATATGTATTTATGCTAGAATGAAGATCCTATTATCTGTAAGGAAGCGAAAAAACAAACAATTTTTTACGTAACAAAGATCCTATTATTTAATTAAGAGATACACTCAGGGAGATGGATAGAACACTCGGATGATTTCATTTTCAATGAAATAGAGATATTTTACCAATTCGAACAAACCAAATGGCAGCAAGAATCACTCACTGAAGATCATATTTTTTACGTCGCTTGCCCTGCGAGCTGCCTCAAGTTGTTGCTGGAAAGATCCTTGTTTATTGAACCTTCTCCCACCTTGTCGACTCGAAGTTTCTGACCCTTTATTAGCTTCATTACCACCTTTCAGTTTTCCTTGAATTCGTAAGGTTACAAAGAAAACTCCATCAGGCCATAGAATCTGAAAAGAAGCAAAGAAAATGGTCAGAAAGCCATGCAATAATAACGAGTCAATTCACAGAGAAAGTCCTCTCAAACAGCAATACGAAGAAAAAAACAAGGAAAAATGACGACTTACATCCTGGACCCAACGTATCCCTTGAGAGATGACATCCTCCCTACGGAGCCATTGAATTTGGCGTAAGAGCCAATCATCAATGGCATCCTCCATCACCAGCTGCAATATTTGCTTTGATATCCAAAAGACTTGTCTCCTGAGATCGAAATTGAAAAAAATGGCATGATATATTTTGTGATCTCGACTGCACTGTGCACACTCTCAGTGTTTATCATCAGTTGGTTTCAAAGTTATTATTATTATTATTATTATTATTATTATTATTATTATTATTATTATTATTATTATTATTATTATTTCTTTACATTCTTTTAAGAGGTGTTGCCGAGTTTAAGGTAATAGTACTAATAACCAATGTTTTAATTACACCGGCCGGTAATACCGGATACCGGCCATTGGTACGGTACAATTACACTCAAAATAACGGATTTACGGTTATACCGGTTTGTACCGAGATCATACTGTAACAACAAATTTTATGAAAAACATAAAACTTTTGTACAACTTGATTTATTTCGATCAAATGATATTGCGGGTACAATCTCTATTTATCTCCTCTGATTCTTCTCTTCATGGATTTGGGTTTGAGATCTTGAAAGATGGATTTGACGATTGAACCTCCTTCGGGCTTGGTCGTGAATTTCTCTAACATTAATTTGGGGGTCGAATAACTTATTCCCGTATTAAATGTTAGGCCTTGACTTGAAGACAACTTCTTGGAGGACTTGTTTCTTTGATCTTCTGGAAAGAGGGGCTTTGACTTGAATAACGTTGACTCGAGGGCTTGATAGCTTTTTCTCGAATCAAACGCTATGTTGGTTGAACTTCTCAACGAACGGGGCTTGAATATTGCTTGAACGTCGTTGATATTCTTGGATTGACTTGAGAGGAGTGGAAGTCGTCTCTTTACTTCTTGGGGAAGAGTCGCCGCCTCTTTTTCTTCTTTTTGGCCTTCTTCTTCATTAAATGGACTTCGGGCGGTTCTTCAAGAAGTTCTTCAAATCTTCAAAAGGGTTCTTGAGAGCCCTTGAATTTGCTTTAATCTTTTACATGTGTTTGATATTTTTGAGGTGTTTGAGGTGTGATTTGTGGCATTGAGGAGAGCCATATTTATAGGTGTAGGAGAGAGAAGTCTTGAAAAAGAAGACTTCAATTTGATTAGTCCTTCATGATTTGACATAATCTCTATCCTTCTCCTAAGATTTGATATAATCTCTTTTCTTATCCTAAGATTTGACTTGGTGGGCAAGAAATAATTAATTTATTAATTAAATATCTTATTTTTCTTGAATTTATGTCCCAAAATAAATAAAGACATTAATTAATAAAATATTAAAATTTCGATGTCTACAAATGCCCCCTTGAGACTTGTTCACGGACAAAATGACTTGGTAGTGAATGAGTCTCAAAATTTTGAATTTAGTTTGGACATGTAGATAGTTTAAACTCTTATCCAGGAGTTCTTCAAATTGAGTTTGTAGATAGTTTAAACTCATATCAGAGAGTTCTTCATTTGACTTGATTTGTAGATAGTTTATACTCATATCAAGGAGTTCTTCATTTGACATAATTTGTAGATAGTTTAAACTCGTATCAAGGAGTCTTGATTTGATTTGACAAATAGTTTATACTCGTATCAAGGAGTCTTTATTTTTGTAGACATTTTATGCTTGTATCAAAGAGTCTTCAAATTTGTAGACATTTTATGCTCGTGTTAATGAGCCTTCAAATTTTACATGTAGACCGTTTATTCTCGTGTCAAGGAGATCTTGATATGTAGACATTTTATGCTCGTGTCAAGGAGCCTTCAAGTTTGATATGTAGACATTTTATTCTCGTGTCAAGGAGATCTTGATATGAAGACATTTTATGCTCGTGTCAAGGAGCCATATAGATAGTTTAGGCTTGGTGGGCAAGAAATAATTAATTTATTAATTAAATATCTTATTTATCTTGGATTTATGTCCCAAAATAAATAAAGACATTAATTAATAAAATATTAAAATTTCGATGTCTACACATACTGTAAAAACCAATATCGGTCCCAAATACTGGTCTATAAAAAAAAATATTTTTTTAATTTTAAATATAAAATTTAACTTGGTAGTTAAAATTTTTATTTTTAATCTCATTGAGAAGTTGAAATTAATGACTATGGTCATTTATTTATTTATTTATTTTTTGCCTTTGTATTATATATTTTTATGTATATTTATATATATCATTATATTTACTAATCCGGTAATACCATCGATATTACCAGTCCTACCAGTAATACCGCGTACTGGTGGCTTGACCAGAATGACCACCGGTAAAGGTATCTAAAACACCGCTAATAACCTTAATTCTAATCATAAAACAATGAGAACTATTGCTAACAAAGACATAATAGCAAAAGTGATTGATTGTTGCCGCATGTTATAACAGAATATTTTAGAATCTTAATGGTAATACTCCCCAACTCATAAATCATAGTTAAGTTTCTAACATCTCATAAGAAAGAACATTATGAATTATGATAGAAACAGATAATCAAAATATAGAGACATCATTTGCAATGCAAATTAAAATGGTCTTTCTTAAAATTTAAACATCCAATTCATCACCGACACATTTCGTTAAAGATAATGAACTATATAACCGAGATATTAAAATGTATTTTTGATCATGAATATAAACAAAAATAAAATGAAAATGAGAAAAAACCATCACCCAGTTTAATAATTGGTTGAGAAAGCATTGATATTAATTAATTATTCGGGAGTTTATTCTAACCGAGTCCTAATCCCCATTACTGCCTAAACGGCAGACTCACACGTTTCGTGATACTGTTTGTCCCAATTCTATGCTTTGGATTGATACATAATCAGGCTCGGATGTCATGTCAAATGTCAATTAGGCATGGTTATTACCATAATATAATAAATACTTCCCTTCTTTGAACAATCATTATTTGTTCTATTTCATATTTTTCTTCCATTTTAGCATAACATTCCTTTTTATTTCATTCTCATTCTAATTCATCATTTCACTAAATCAATAATATAATTTATTTTTCAGTTTTTCTCTCCTATATCCATACTTTACTCATTTATAATATTGTCTTTCTACATTTTTTAAGATCCAATTGATATATTTGTCTTGTTCAATCGAATAAAAAAAGAATAAATAATTATCGAAATTCTAATATTACATTTAAAGTTCAAAGACTGTGAAGTAGGGCCTGATACAACACTACACTTGATTTATTAGGTGTCTAATTAAATTAAAGAAACTAATCTCTTTTGCTTAATTTTCAACTAAACGTATTCTACATTTATGCATATTAGCATATACATATCACCATATTTATTCTATTTACTTAAGACATATTTTTTACTCGTGTCATATTAAATAATCATGATATTTTTAGATGATATAACTTAAAAATTCAATATCAGTTGATATTTATGTAATAAACTGGTGTTTAATTATTGTGATAGAAAAAAATATAATATTGTTTGACAGTTTAATTATAACACAGGGTGGCATTTAAAAAAATAATTATTTTAGTTTTAAAAAAATATTCAAAATTTTAAAATGAAAACTTTAATATTTTTTTTATATAGTTCTTAACTAAACACTCATGTATTGTACTAGTATCGTAATAAACAAGAAAAGGAAATGACACTAGGAACCTTATTCCACAATTAATTGATAGTATAAGTATGTTAATTGAACTGCAAGAAAAATGAAATCACCTCAGCCAACCTCTTCTTTCGAGCTGAAAAACTTTATCGACTAAATTCAGAACTGGCACACTCAAATTTGCCGGTGCCCACTGTCATTGAAATAAACAATCAAGTTCATTCATAAAAAGCAAATGGTATGCAATAGTGATATGAATGCCCATGTGTAACAAAACATGACAGTGTAATTTATTTTCTACAAGATATAATTTGAAACACAAAGGACTAAGGAATAAACAAGAACAAGATAGAATGAACAAGCACTTTGAAATGGATGTTACCTCTGGAGGCACCCCCGTGGGATCCTCTTTCAACTCGTTGTCCAAGTTCCACCCATTTGGTTGAGCTGAAAATCCCACTTCATCATGTTGCCCATGGTTTATATCCTTATCACCCTCTTCATTATCAGAAGAACTAATAAAAGCATTTGAAGTACTTTGCTTCATGGCCAATTTATTTAAATCATCTGTATTCCAGGAAACATTTTGTCTTGTAACTGAAGAAGCCGTTTCATGAGACAATCCACTAACCATCCGTAATAGGCCATTGGAAGCCCCTTTGTACTGGCGTACAATATCATCCATAGCATTATCCACATGAACTGTTTGGTTACACGAGAGTTTGTGATGATTAGAATATTTTGTTGATGAATAAATTGTTAAACATAAAAATTGAAAATATTATTCATCTTGCGAACTAGCACACTAACTTTTAAAACAGTTTACAGCAACACAATATTATAAGTATCAAGACAAAGAGAGAGTAACTTTCACAGGTAACACTAACAAACTGCCAATGAGACAATAGGCAAGTAGTAATTTCTAGAAACCTCAATGGAATGAAGTAACATAACAAAATAAATTGGTCAAATTTATGTAACTTCACGTCTTTCATTGAATGTGAAGATCTATAACTATATAAATGACCTTTGCTTGTGTCAAAGTGCATAGTTAATATTTAGAAGAAGGGTCTATACTTAAACTCAATGAGCAATTTTACCCAATTATCGACATAAAAAGCAAAAGAATGTAATTTGTTTTACAGTAAAAAAAAGTGTTCCTTATAATATGATGAATGATGAATAATAGTCATCTAACTGAGTGAAGATAAAAGTTCACATCTATGAAAAAAAAGCCACATACCTGCCAGAGTCTTCACCACTGAAGGCGATGTCCCGGCTGAATAATTCTTCATTAATGAAAAGAAAAAAATAAGTTAAGAAAGAACTCGTAGATATTTCGTTTCTAACCATAGTGATTGATACACACCTTAGATGAGGCACTCAAAAAATCCCATACTTCATGTTGCTCAGCAACATTAGCAATCGACAAAAGATCCTGATTAAAATGTATTGTCAAAGTAAGTGAATATTAATAATGTAGTTTCATCAGGAGTAGTAGGGATAACCATACTTGCATATACTTGTCAAGTTGTATACAACGTTGATGAACAAAAGCATCCTCTGTACTTGAGGAGAATATCCTCTTTGGAGGCAAATGCAATGAATAATTAGGTATATCTTTAAGACGTCTATGCAGTTTCTCGAAATTTCGATATCTGTAATAGAAATACAGGAAACAAACCATCAAGTTATTAGTGCATAAAAATCGAGTAAGCAATTGTCATTTAAACAAAAGATTTTTTCATGGTGATGAATTAAAATTGTCACTTAATTAGAAGTAGATAAGTATAAAACATCTTTCAAATTATTTTATCTATTCTTTTGTCATTTTATATAGAACAAATGTCCAACCTTCTTTTCACAAACCAGGAGGTGTTAGCATCAATTACACAAATGGAATAAACTGCAAATGAATTTGAGTAAAGTTTCTCAAAGGATGCTCCAATAACCTGCATAATTAAATTACCTACTATTAGCCAATCACATTATATATATATATATATATATATATATATATATAGAGAGAGAGAGAGAGAGAGAGAGAGAGAGAGAGAGAGAGAGACAACATATGAAAAGTGATGAAAAATTCTTATACAATCCGTCTTTAAAAATGAAAGCTTAACCTTAAAAGTTATTATAAATGAAAATATGGGACATTAATACATTTATTCAGCTAGACATAACACTACAAACGCAAATACAAGACGTTACATCACTTTCTGCTATACTAAGCCCACTAATGCAATAAGTTTCTAGTGATAGAAAGAAAAAAAAATAAATCAACACAACATGTAAACTTTCATATTTCATGGTCCAATAGTAGCATACTTTAGTAAATTAATCTAAATATAAACAAATTTATCATGCAAGAAACAAAAGATATGAGAACTATCAATTTGAGATTATGAAAGAAGAATGCCATGGGCATACTCTTAAATAAAAAAAAAAAAAAAGCATTTTACATCCATAAATGAATTAGTTAATGAAAAAAAGAAACAGTAGATTATTAGAGGACTCACTCGGCATCTCAACTTTGGAATATGCAGAACTCCACTGTGTGACAGCATATCTGTACTGCTCTTTAGGCCATGGACATTAAGCTCATTAACATCTGCACTATAGGATTTAGTTATGGGGGGTACAATTCCTTTTCTAATAAACATATGGTCTTCGTTTTCAGTATTTTCTAGTCCATGATTAGTAGAGCCCCTGTCTTGAGGCGCACTTATGCTTAAGGCATCAACATGGATATCAGTTGAACAATTACCCTGATCGATGCAGGGTGTTGTTTTCTTAGAAAGTTTATCTTCTCCCCAGATAGATGTTGAAGGCTCCAATTTTGGTATTTCACTCGTCAAATCTATTCTAGAAGATTGCATACTTTCTGTGCTCATAACTTCATGGTCTTGAAACTGTGAAGCCGACTTCTTTTGGAATATCTTTTTATAGTCTCTTCCTATGGCCCACATGTTTTCAAGATTTTCAGGCATAAGCACTTCTTCTCTCCTCAAAGTCACTGCCTCACACACTTTTGCCCAGTCAGCATGTCGTGGATGCAAAGACTCATCATTCGTTGTATTATGTGAAAGATTTGGAGATTCACCCAACTCTGACTCCCTAGAGTTGTTGGCTTGAGATGAAGACAACATGTCAGCACCTTGGTGGTTGGAACCATGTTTTGCAGAAATTATGTGATTGGTATTATGACCGTCAACATTAGTTGAATGTTGGGCTGAAAAATCCTTGAACCACCCATTACCATAGACAAGGATTATGTACTCAATCAACTCATTAATATATCTGGGGAAAAAATATATTGTTGAATGGCAACCACAAAATCAATAAAAAATATATCTGTACATTGAACACAGAAAATGAGGTATTACACATTCGAACAAGGTGAACATATTGATATCACTCCCATTTCTTAGCTTATAATCAAAGATAATATAATGGAAAATGCTACATGTACATAATAAATGTACATAGAGGTGTACATAACTCTCACATGGTGTGGGGTCCACTTGATTTTTTATTTTTGGTGAGTCCAACTCAATGTGAGTATTATGTACACTCTTATGTACACTATTATGTACTTGTAGCATTACTCTGATATATATTGGTTCATTAATAAGCCTAACCTAATGGATGACTGAATAGATGCATGATGAGTTACTAATTAGAAGAAAGATGTTCATACTAATTATTGTACAACAAAAAATATATATGATAAACCTATCAAGCAAGTTGCAAAAATTTGTTAAAGGTGAAACCAATAGGCGATGGGAAGAGTAGACACTAGGTTTATAAACTCTGCTCATTTTTTCTATTGAATCAACTTGGAACAACCCACAAGTTACATTCCAATAGAAAAAATAAATCATCTAACAGACTTGAAACTTTTTGCCCAGTGGCATGTGTCAACTCAACATAAACCAAGTACAACATTAATAACCTTAAATTGACAGAAATGTTAGTTCAAGGAAAATATATCTCACATTGGGCTAGCAAAATTCATAATAGGTTGCATCACCAAGCAAGTTGCGAGTTCGCGTGCTATGCATCGAACTAAAGGGCATTTAGCTTCATTTGGTCTTAATATTATAGCTAAAAATCCATCCATGAGCTGTTGAATTACCTATGTCCAACATATGCCAAAAATCAAAAAATAATTTCAAAAAAGTAACTGACAAAAAAATTGACATCATACTAAAAATTTACATCTTACATACCTTGTACTCACACTCTGAAGATATCAATGCAGGGTGAAGTTCCTTAGAGGCCATGAGATGTTGTTTCAACCTTTCATCACGTTCTTCTGAAGACAATGTACCCATAATATCTGTTCCTATAGAAGCCTGATTTTTTCTGAAGAGGTCAAGATGGTCACCGATCATGTCAACCACATCACTGAGGAAAACAAACACAAGCACTAAAGGCATCATTCGTAGTATTAAGTAAGTTGACTCGCATTTTTCCCACCTCTGGTAATTCATAAAGTATAAAATGAAATCATACCTTAGCAACAGGTCAACGAGGTTTAATTCTTTGATTCGTAAAGATACTTCACCGATAGCATCCATGACTATATCGTGTATGAGTTCTGGCGCGTCTTTGTCAGGCGTTATATCCGAATACCACAAGTCCGTGACAAAATCATGCAAGATTTTGCTGAGGAATTCCTCGATGGCTGCCTCTACAATAGGAGAATCTATTTTCTTCTTCCACTCTTGCGCGGATTTCAAGGACGAAACTCGAGCATCGCTCAAGGATAATTGTTTCTTTTCCAAGTATGACAAGTACGATATCGGTCTGGTGTTTCGTTTCTTCCACTTCAGTTCTACCTCATTAAGCAATATTCTTAGTCCAGAAACCAAGAGTATGGCTATGGGAATATTCATCAGCATTAATTTGCTAGTATCTGTAGTTTATCAATATAATAAGAGTAATGATCAACTTCACTGATAAGAACAATCAGAAGAATAGTATACCCGCATATTAGCATCATTTAGAATCATACAAGAAATAGTTGAATACTGCGTGGCTCGTGTAACTTCACCAAGTTTAAAATAACCCAAAAAAGGAAAAAAAAAAAATGAGAGAATCATATTTTTTTTTTTCTGGATCACTAACTAAGCTAAAATAATATCAAAGAAAAAACAAGTAAAAATTGTCATAACTCAGTCCCTGAATCATATATTTACATGTATCCATAATATTTCTATAAAGTTTAACTAAAACCACTACTAATCACACAAATCATTTGAATTCTTATTGCGAAAAGTAACTAAAATTTAATAATGACGCATGTAAAATGAGAAATTGCACTCAATCCTTGCATAAATTAAGGTACAAAATTAAAATATCAGATATTCACGTTTTCATGATTGTAATTTGATTTCTAACTTGGATAGTATTTGAGGGAGAGCCAAAAGAAGAAAGAGAGAGGGAGATTGTTCACGAGTTAAGAAGTAAGTGACGATGAATATGCAGAGAATCCACCAAACTGTTCGAAGCTTTGCTTCTTGGATCAGATCATGTAGATCATCCATAACGCTCTTCATTATTCTCTAAAACTGATCTCAATTGATCCCAACAAATCCAAGAAAACAAATTGCGCACGACTGTGTGGAAGTTTTGAAGAGAAAATTCATGATTCTCCCCCACGAGATCATCAGAAATTTTCTCTCCGTTCTTTTCCTTATCCTTTTCACGTTGCAACATACAGAAAGGTCCATTGTTGTGCTATCTTGGGGATGATGGAGAAAAACACGGGGCAAGGTAGGGGTGCAATTTGAATGGGACACACTTTATTTCCAACAACACTCTGCGTATCTCACCTGTGGCAAATGGCAATTAATGCTGAAATTTAGGGGGAGAAAATGAAGGAAGTGAATGGGGACTTGGCAAATAGTGCTCAGGCTTTCTCATCATTATTAAGCAAATCATTATTTATATACATGTATATAATATTAAAATTATAAATTAAATAATAGTTTCATATTTTAATTTTTTTTATTACTAAAAATGAACAGTATAAAAGTATTATAATCTAGATAATTCCTATCTTCTCTCTCTCGATACCCTAATCCCAAATCCCGCCGCGCATCTCTTCTCTAATTTTCGGTCGATTGGCCTTCTCCCGTGATGGCGGGTCTCTGGCCAGGGATCGTCCTTGACCGCTCAACCCCCCCGGACGAAGTGCGTCTCCGATGTCGCTGTGGAAGGGCCGCGATTGGCGGTCTGGTTCGAGGTTTCTGACAGAGTTCCGGTCAATGGTGGCCTCTTTCCAGGTCGGTGTTTAGCTGGCGACGGGAGTCTTCCCCTCAGTCGCCGGTTGAGCTTCGTTTTGTGAACGTAAGCCCTCCATCTTCAATTCGTCGATTAATATTGGTATCCGACTCTTTCGGCTAGGCTCCGCCTCTTTTAGGTGGTGGGTCCTGGGCCTCCGATTAGGCTCCCTGTGGTGGTGTTGGGCGAAGTGTGAGTTGTCGGGGGNNNNGGGGGGGGGGGGGGCTCCGGTCGCTGCAGCTTTTCAGTCGTGGTGGACGGGGTTGAGGGACAGACCCGCCTTCACCTTCCCCCGCTCGGCTATTGGTGTTATGCTGCGGGGGAACCTGAGCTCGGCTAGTGGTGTTAGACGGGTTCGGGTGGTCCGGTGTGGGGGCTGGTCGATTCTCTTTCGGTTGAAAACGGGTCGATTCGAGGATTGGTCCGGGCTTGGTTTCGGCTACCTGTATAGGCGTTCGCGCTATTTCGTTAGTGGATTCTCGGGCTAGAAATCTTTCTTGTGTCGACCGTTCACTACTGGTTGGGACCGCTTGTATGACGGGGAAGGGCTTTACTATTTATTTTTTTTTTAATTTTTATTTTGGTTTTTCTTGTTTAGTGCGGTATGTGTTTGTGTTTGTATCTGTATTTGTATTTGTGTTTTAGGTTTGGGCCGTTGGTCTCGGTTAGCCCGAGTGTGACTTTTTTTATCCTGTTGGAATCGTACACTCGGGCATTACCCTATTGGAGTCTTTTGAATTTCTTAGTGTTTTGTGCGTTAGTGATTTTGTGTTCATGAGTATTACCCAGTTGGGGTCGGTTCTAGGCGGTCTTTGACTGTCCTCCCACTTTATTCAGCTGTTGGCTGTTTGTATTCAGCTGGTGGCTGTACTTTGTTCGTTTATATATAATATCTCTATCGTTTCGACAAAAACAAAAAAAAACAGTATAAAAGTATTCAACTTCATCTCTATATTCATTGCATAAAATAAAATGGATAATCAAATTTTATAAATTTGAGAGATCCTAACATATTAATTATCTTAAAAATTATTATTATTATTATTATTATTATTATTATTATTATTATTATTATTATTATTATTATTATTATTATTATTATTTGTTAAATTTAAGGTGTTTGGGTATTCCACTAAAGCTAATTAAAATTATTCTGATAATTAAAATTTTTAAGATGTTTGGTCAACATTCCTTAAAAAATGGATTATCCTGATTTTCACCAATTAAAATTATTATGATCTGAAGAAAGTGTCTCTCACTTTGAGAGTTTCCATCTCTTTCGATAGGAGTTTCGTTCCTTGGATCGACTTAAGGAGGGGATAGGGTTTTTAAGCCTTGATCATCATGAATAAAGAGGAAGAACTGGAACAAAGATTGGGGAAAGTTTCGATCTCAGAAGTAGAAAACCTTGCTATTGATATTGAGGAAAACGACGTTCGAGCAAGTAAAGATGAATGTTTTGAAGCCTATTCGGGAATGATTGGGAAAAAAAAGCAAACTGGGTGGGCATTAAACGCACTTTGGGAATCATTTGGAAATTAGGGTACCAATTTTAGGCCAGAGAGCTCTGTTTCAGTTTCTTTCAAATATATCTTTCAAAACAAAGAGGATATGGGGAAAATTCTATCAAGCAGAAACTGGATCTTTGATAATAAACATATTGTCCTTCAAGAATGAGGCTAGGATTGAACAACAACCACCAACGTTTTGAGGAGATAAACATGTGGGTTCAAGCACATAATGTTTCTAATTGGTTGAGTACCGAAGTAGGTTAGAAATTATCAAGTGTTAAAAGAGTCCAAAATTTTAATTTGGCAAGGGCATGGGGCCAAGGAGGTAAAGTGTTTAGATTGCAGGTGATGGTGAACTTATCTGAACCACTCCCTAGATGGACAAAAATCAGGCTAGGAGATCTCTTGGTTATTGTCCACTTTAAGTATGAGAGACTAGTCAACCTTTGCAATTACTGCGGGAAGATAGGACACTCCGATAAAAGGTGCAAAAAGGGGCTTGAGAAAATTGCAAACAATTAACCCAAAGAGGGACTCTATAGGGAGTGGATAAAAGCAATGGATGGCTACCAGATAACTGAGTCTCCACCGCAAAGCACCAAACAGATTCTTTTGGAAATAAAAACTCAAACGAAACCTCCATTGCAGAAACCAGAATGAATGCAACTATCATTAAAGATCTACAGAGTCAAGGTGAAAGAGTTATCATTGAAAATGTTCATCCAAATAGTGCAACTAACCAGAGCCTGTGCTTAATGGAATGCTCTTCTTCAGTTAAATTATCAGTTTCTGAAGATAAATGGAAAGCAACTCTAACTATCCTGGAATCACAATCAGTCGATATAGTTTAAGCACAAGATTTGCAATGACAAAATACGGGTATGGATGTGGAAACATTGGGTAAAGAAATGGAGTTGTCAGCTAATAAGGTAAGAAGTCTCAATCATCAGAAAACCTAGAAAAGGGCATCATGCAGGGAAGGAAGATTGACTATAAAAAATAATCAAGTGAGTCAATTTGGGGCCTACAGGGCTAAAAAAGATAAGAGAGGACAAACATGAAGAGAAAATAGAAGGTAGAGAGCAAGAAGAGAATGAAAACTCAGTGATGGAAGGAAAGAGACAGAGGATTAAAGGAGATAGAGTGGAGGTAGCTCATGTGTGTTCATCAGATGTTTTCACGTGACGCATCTGGCCGCTTTGCATGACGACGGCTCCAACAGAGACAAAACCGGTTTGGATTCGCGACCGATTCCTTCTCAACTAGAGGAGGATGATGGAGACAAGACCGCGATTGCGCTTCTAAATAAATATGATCGACTTCGTATTTAGATTATTTATTTCTTTTTATTATTATTATTATTTTCTTAGCATATATTGTTAGTTTGCTAAGACAATAAATATCTGGCATAGCTTGTTCAAGATAAGTAGCTTGTTGACTCTCTCTCTCTCTCTCTCTCTCTCTCTATATATATATACATATACATATATATATATATATATATATATATATATATATACTATCCATCATAGCCAATCGTTTTTATTTATGAAAAATAAATATGATATTTTGTGAGTTTTATCGAAAGAGTTCTCATATTTCTCCTTTGTCATTCACGCTGTACATCAATAAATAAATAAATAAATGAACAATTAAGTGCAAACACTAAGAGGTAAGCCTCCTATATATAATTCTCGTATGCGTTGTGCCTAAATGGCAGGCTCGCACGCTTCGAAATTGGTAAATTTTTATGGTTTGTCATTTGGCTTGGATGAATTTTAATTTATTTATAATCTCAAAAGAACTAGGATTGTCATATCCATATATATACTGAATTTTTTATCATTTTTAAGAGCATTAATTTTATTTTAATATTATTGTCCATCCTAGACTTGGTTTATAAGACACAATTTTTGTCTCCAATCTTTCTTTTCTTCTTCTTTCTTTTATAATTATAAAAAATTTACTAACATAAATTATAAATATATTTAAAAGCTATTTTTTTTATTTATTATCGGTTTATATATATATTACATCAAATTAATCATGTCCTGATTATATTCGATTTGACATTTATATTGCACACAAAAATAAACAAATAATTATATCTATCTATATAATAAAAACTAAATTATATATTAATATTAATTGGAAAAAATATTTAAATTAATTTAACTAATTAGTTATTTGGTATCAGTTAAAAATCTATTATAATAAAAAATGTTAAGTTGTATATGTGAAAAATGTTATTATAAATACAAATAATATATATTTTTTAAAAAATGTATTTGAAAATTAAAACCCTTTTTTATTTTAATTTTAAATCTAAATTTATTAAATAACACTCGTGTAATACACGGGTAATGTACTAATTGCTAATCAATATGTTTCTTTAATGTCATTATGGAAATGAGGAAGGTTAAAAAAACAACAAAAGTTAAAATCGGACAAAATGATGATGATGATGATAATGATGATGATAATAATAATAATAATAATAATAATAATAATAATAATAATAATAATAATAATAATAATAATAATAATAATAATAATAATATATGGATATTTAATAAAACAATTGGTTAGTGATGCGACCATTCAATTTAATAGTTAAAATGAAACTGAAAAATAGAGAAAAGAAATACTCCAGATATTTAAATTATTGGAAAGAGTTTTGGAGAGGAAGTATTGCAGAAGGAATTATTGTCGGAACCGGACTTCAAAAGGTGGATACGATTAGAGGGAAG